TGTCCTCATCACATTGTCTGTGTCTGCAATCCCAAAGAAACTTGTACTGTAATTCAAAAAAAAGACTTGTACAGATGCAATTTCTATTGAGCCCCAGAATTGACATGTGAACAAAAACAATTTTGTTCACATGCTGTAACTATTATGTAGGCATGAGGAACTACTTTGTAGGCATTAACTACTACTGTGCACATGGACAACTACATGGTGTGCACAAAATAGAAAGTGCACACGAAGTAGTTGTTTGTGCGCGTAAAGTAGTTGGAGCGTGCGCACGTTGTAGCCGTGGCTCCTTGCAGGTCACTTGAACAAGAAAATCGAACGCACCTTCTTTCAAAGTTGAAAAGTCGAAGGAAAGCTACATAATGGACAGGGGCAGCGTGATCAACTTTTATTTTAGGCTCGGGATGAGTTACAAGGACATCATGAAAAGCTTGCCATTGCAAAGAATCATTATCACCAAGAGACATTTCAATAGTCTGTTGAGAGCCAGCTTGCTTTACCGGCGGAGGTACGACTTGGACGCCGGGATCGATTTTATTGTTCAGCAACTGCAACGCTCTGAGAGGGATCATGGTTACTGGTGGATGTGTACGAAATGAAAACTTTTTGTCATAATATCACTACATCATGTTGGTATAAAATAAAAACGTCAGATGCAATAACGTGTGGGTTTTTCAAGGCACTGATTAGGTCGGCAAGAAGCGAGTCTGTTAAGGTGGGCTCGATTTGTTTACCCTCTTATCCAGTAAGGGATCAGCGCTACTTGATGTGCTTGCTGTAACTATTTTGTGTACATGCTGTAACTGTTTCGTGCGTACGAAGTAAGAGTTCATGCACACAAAATATAATTTAGTGTGCACAATATAGTAATTAGTGTGCACAAATTACTTATTTGTGCACACGAATTAGTAGTTTATGCACACAAAGTAATTTTTTTTCAAATGTTTTTCTTGTTTTGATATTAGTAATACTATGTATCTATCAATCTAGAAGTAACTAGCTAGCCAGCTAGCTAGCTAACCGGCTAGCTAACTGGCTAGCTCGCTACTTGTTTATTCACAGAGTGAAAATGAATAACTGTATTTTCCTGCAGTATCAGGTTGTGTCTTTTCGTGTTTTTGGTAGTGTATGTGTTTTTCTTGTTGTTCAGTCTTCTGCGTCCTGTTCTGTGACAAAACCAGAAGTGCCACAGTTCATAAGAGGCAGACTGGACACAACAGACAGGAAGTAACAACACTCCACCTTCCTGCTTCAACCATGCGAGTGCAGCAGTTTCACTTCCGTCACTTCCCCTTTCTGTTTCATCGTCGCTCTTAAAAAAAAAAAAAAAAAACTCTTATATTACGATCATGCTCATTTGATGTCCTGTACATGAACTTCACATCAGGCGGTTTGATTGTTGAAACGCTCCCTGTTTAGCCTGTGACATTCGAGACGATCACGTTTCCATTACAATAAATTGCTTTGAGACAAATGTGTGTTTAAGGCATAAGCACAGACTTGCCTTTGTTTGTCCTTTGCCCGGTTTCATTTTATGGGTGAACAACTCCAAAAAGAACAGTGTTGGTGAAATAGTTACGGAATTAAAAGTGCAAATGGGAATATTATTTCAGAATGATAAAATAGAGCATCCCTAATCTTTTGCACCCAGCTGGCGGGAGCACCTTCGGGGCAGTGCTCTGCGTATTGATTTTGTTGCTTCTCTCATCTGGTATGTTGACAGCAGGCAAATACATACAGCTAAACTAAATGACTGCTCTTCAATTTGGTTTTAGTGATTCAGCTGTCCATTGTTTACCTGAAGGGAAAGAATACCGCACTTTCACTTTATTGGATCATTGGGCTGTAGCTGCATACATTAGCAGCACACAATGTGTCTCTTATAATCAATGTGTTGGCTTTAATGTGACTTTGAGAGAAATTTTGATTGGGCATGAAGTTACACAGGTGTCGCTGACTTTCACTTTGCCGTGTCTCTACAAATGTTTGTGCTCTGGGGCTTTATATTCCCAACATTCCTCTCGAGAACGCAACGTGATAAATGGAAACTCGGTTGGCTCTACCCTGCAACTTAGTGAATTTGAAATCAATCTATTGCCAAGACGACATTCACACCTCATTTCCCCCTGCAGGTATGTGGAGATAAAAAGAAGGAATGAGTCAGTAATACAGTAACACAATATCGTAAGAGTGTTCTCCCTTTAAAAGCTAAAAGAAAATTTTAAGAAAAGGGGGCCGGCTGACTCTTTTCATACGAAATAAAGCCACTCATCCATTAACCAAAAATGGAAATACAGCATTAATAATTTACGCACCATAGATGATCAAATTGTAAATTTGCCAAGATTACGATGGTCACTTAGTTAGCAACATGAAGGGGGCAAAATATTGTCAGGTATATTTCATACGGTATAGATATATTATTTCTATCGCCTTCACAGTGTCTCATTTTGGTCATTAGAGTCCAAAAGTAGAATTTGGGGGCTAATGAAACACTTTAAACAAAACACTGCACAGGCATAAATGACTTGAAAATACAATTTGCCGTTGTGTTAACAGGATGTTGAACCCGAGGGGGGTTTCTCTAACGTGATGAGAGCTGTCAGCAGTCAGGGGTGACAGGAAGTCTCACCACAGGTGTATATGGGAAATGAAATGCAAACGTGGTTTACAGAACGATGGTGACGGGGTTCAACGTTTTTTGCCGAGCTATTTATGACCCGCCGCCTCACACAACAGATGCAGACGGGACAGCATGGAAACGCTTCTTTTCTTATTTCCTCAATTTAACTTCATGGCCCAGAAGGAGGAAGCATATTTCAAAAGGCTTGATCCACAACACGGGCAAGAACCAACCATGAAGGCCGATAGCAGCAGGTTCGTGTACGACTCTAAAACTATTCTAGAAATGCAGTGGCTATTGTCAGAATCTCTTTATGGTTCAGCAATCATCTCTTCAAACAGAGACACTTTATTTTGTGCATATTATCATAATAACCGACCTGTTCAAATGCTTGAATGTGATCGAAAGTCTTGACGGCTGTCAATATCGCCGTGTTGAGTGGGTGTGTGTGTCTCATAAAGCTGCGGCATGAATCCCTTTTTGCAAGTTAAGCGATGTGCACGTATGACTCGTTTCTGAAAGCTTTGTTGATCCACACGAAAATGTAATTTATTGCGCAGTCATGTAAAACGCGTGGAAACATGTAAGCGAGGAGTCTTTCTGATTTTGGTCTTTGGGGAAATGCATACTTTTTTTTTTTTTTTTTTTTTGCATGCAGACAGCAAGACAAGGAGAGGACGAGCCGACCAAGTCTCACCAGGTCCGGCTCCCATGACAATGTCAGTCACCAGACCAAGACAACATCCAGCAAGTGAGGCTAATTCCAATGACTTCGCGTAACGCTAATATTTAGAGAAGCATTGATCATATTTGACCTCAGTTGTCACCTGCAAAAAGACACATGACGCTAAAACTTTGCTGCCGAGTCACTTCATCGACTGCTTCTTCATCTTTTCTCAGCATCTCAGCAGAGACGGCTCTGCAATGGAGCAACTCATTTGAAGAATTGATGAAGAATGCAGGTCAGAGTTGCGCCCCCCGATGCAAAGTTTGACTTATTCAACAATAAGAACATTATTAGTTGCGATGCATGCTTTAATGTTTGCAACTTCCTCATAACAAAATTCCCCCTTTGCACAACGTGGTTCTCAGAAAATAGGGTCCAAGAGTGTGACATGAGAGTCCAAAAATGAACTTGTTCAAAAGCTGGTCAAAATAATAGATGCTTTAAATCAAACCTTCCTGCAGTGTGCTATGAATAAATAAAGAGAGTTCACTTCGCCTTCTGTTCGCAAGGGATTGTTGAATATTGTGGTACTCCATTGATTCATATTGAACAGCAAGCACTTCACACTCGAGAAGAAAAAAAAAGACTTTTAAATTCATTATTTTTACACTTGAACAGCTTCACTACTTTCATACCAAGATATCCATTTGAGAAAAAAAAAACATTAACCAATCATACATAGAAAATTACTTCTGAATGGTGAACAGTGGCTCTCGGGTGACCCGTTGATACATTTGAGGGACACCACGCCTTTATTAACTGTTCGCCTCGCTAAATATGAAATGTCTGCAGCTGAACTGTGCGCCTTTTTAAATCCTGCTGACTCATGTGCAAGAATACACGTGAATGCAGCTAGTGTGAACCAAGACGTTGATCTATTTTATTGCACGCACGTTACCCAAAAAACTGGACACCATGCTTGACATGTAACTTACTCTGTTGTCGTAGAATGAACAAAAAGAGTTTAGGTTTTTTTTTTTTTTTTTAATGTGAAGAGGTGAACCAATTCAGCGTCCGGTTCAACTTACTAAAGTCGTTCCATTCGAAGTGTGGAGTATTTTAGAGTAGTAAATCTTTTGAGGTTACTTCGTGGACACAGAAGGTAACACGCGTATCGTCATTTTTTTTCTGAAGTTGTATTGTCACATTATGGGCGGCATTAAACAGTATTGTGTTGCATTGGAATTCTGCTGGTTTATTGGTAATATTAGATGTTTTAAACGGATGATTTTCAATGATTTAAAATGCTCTTAATTACACAGCCGTTGTTGGCATGTCACTAAAAGGAAGTGGTCGAGACGACTATTTTTCACCCCTCAAAGCGCATTTACACACAAGCGACAGCTCAGATCTCAATAATATGGGTGATTATTTTATCTCCGCAGTATGTTTGCGGAGACATCTGGCGAGTCATTGTAAAGGAAAAAAAATATTCATATTCATAACATTTTGCTGGACCTAATTTTCTGAGAACCTCTGCTGGGTTATATAATTGTTTGTGTATATTAAAGCAGTGGTCCCCAGCTTCCGGGCCACGGACTGGTACAGGACGCACAGAAAGAGAAAATAACTTCTATTACTTCCGTTTTATTTATTTCGGAATCTGAAAGATGTTTTATTTTGAAAAAATACCGGATTCTCTGTTACATCCGTCTACAGTATGTCACTCTTGACGCAGGTCAAGGCGCGCTTCTCGGTCACATGATAGGTTACCGCTAAAATGAAACCCAAAAGCTAGCAAAATGAGTTAAAAAAACAAACGTTTTGGGTGGGGGGAAAAGGCCCAACCAGGAGACAGAAGAGAAGCCTACGACGTTCAAGAAAAAAAGGCTATATTTAATAGACAATATCCGGGGTCCTACTTAAAATACGGATTTATGTCAACGGGAGATTCCCACGCACCAAGCCCACTCCGCATAATATGCGGCGATGGTGAGTCTAATTTTTCATGCAGTTTGTATTGGCGATGTATCTTATTTTGAAGGCACGTTTAAACGTTACCATAGCGACCAGAGAGCGCCGGGTGGTAAGATAGGACGTTCCTCGTGTCATGACTCGTGTTTATTATGATGTTACGAAAATACCACAGTTTTCATGCATGTCATATCATATTATTTAATTCTATTTATCCGTCACACCTTTAAGGAAAATATTGTCTGACATTAAACCGGTCCGTGGGGCAAAAAAGATTGCGGACCGCTGCATTAAAGCACAAATTACTAGCCCTTTAAATAAAGAAGTGATGGAAAGTCAATTCCTCATTCACACATCCTTTTCCTCAATGACCCAGCCCATGCAGACAGATCTCAGATATCGTCTTACTTTTCAAGTTTCTCGAGTAACGAGCTGTGTGTCCGTATTCATGTCTCCATATCAGATGGGGTGGCAACTTTCTCTCAGTTCCTCCGCACGGAGTTCAGCGAGGAAAACATAGAGTTCTGGCTGGCGTGTGAAGAATTCAAGACCTATGACTCCGAGAAAAAACTGCTGTCCAAGGCCAAACATATTTATACAGTTTTTATTGAGTCGGATGCGCCTAAAGAGGTATTTCATGCTAATTTGCTGATGGAAAAGAATGTTTATCTTTTGGCCTGTCACCGAGTGCTGTTGGAGGCTCAGAATATTCATGACATGGTGATAAAAGTATGAGGGGGATGAATTCCCAATCATGATCGGGTCAAGAAGTCGACCTCTCTGAACGCAGCAGAAGCAGTTTGGGCAGGCATCTCAACAAAGTACAACAACCTGCAAAAAGTAGCCAGTGAGAGAGAACTGCGGTTTAGAAGATTTTTTTTTTTTTTCCTTTCGCAGCGCGGATGACAATTTGACCGCGTCTGACCGATGAGAGCAGGCAGTTGGTTTGTGGCTGTGACTCTTCTCTGCAAATGTGAAGAGAGCAGCACCCACACACTTTCTGAGGAGGATGATTGTCAGTCTAAATATTTTGTAGCTTCTGCATGCGCCTGCATCAATGCTTTGTAGGAGATGAATGCACATGCGTTACTTACTATGGCTGCGCGAGGAGGCTTTTTCAGATACATAACAGACACGATTATTGGTGAGGTGACAAGAAAACTGTTTATTATAAATCCCGATTTATTGTATCTCTCCTCAGTTCTGTTTTGGGGGTTTTTCTCCGCATTTTTATTTTAAGAGCAATTTAGTCGAGATGAGACAAAAGTGCCGACTGACTGTGCTTCAAAGTGGTGAAAACGCCGACAGAGAAATATTTACGCTCATGCTATTGAGCATTCTACATTGAACTTTGCTTTTGTATTTCAACCGTCATTCATTTTGGCAGGGGGTAATCACTCAATTCAATAAAAACGAAACCAAAGAGTCTTTTCGGAATGGGCAATTTCTCAACACGAGTTTCAGAATAATATTCCCTTTTTTTTCTGCAAAGCGCTCAAGGTGAACTTTTTCAGTGTAAAATTGTTGTCATGAATATCTTAAAAAAAAGTGTTTGAAAAGTTTTCAAGTGTATCCAAATTGCCTCGCTGGTGCTTGGGGATGGTTGGGATAATGCATGCCCGTTCCACGATGTACTTGTGCTTCTTTTTTCTGTCACCTATATGCTACCGAAAAATAGCAAGTACACATACTATACGACAAGTCAAGAACTTGCACCTGTAAGCAGGCATAGCTATGAATCTATAGATACGACTGAGTTTTTATGCCTATGGCAATGTTAAGCTAATGTCCATGTGTACCTATTACATTTGATGGGACAGTTGCCCCTGCCAACATGGCCGCCGCCGTA